GGGTTGAGGGTTTAGGGTTTAATGTAGCCTTAAAGGGGATACAGGGGTTATATAGGCGGGCTTTATACGGGAATAATGGAAAAGAAAACGGAAACTATAACGGGATTATGCAGTGTTTGGCTAAATGGACGACGGATGGAATGCCACAGGCCACGCCGGTTACGTGCTGGCTTCAATCTTTCATCTTGTTTGTTGCAGTCGGTGGCTTCAGTGCCCATTTCATTGCCCAGTGTGACTACATTGGCATAGCCCTTTTCAAATTTAAAAAGGTCGCTAGAAACCTCTTGATGCACTGTGCTGTCCAAGAAGAGCAAGTTGAAGAACTCCTGCAATTCATGGACCGGAACGCAAGTGGATTGCCAACTGCCCCCCCCAACACTTACTTTTCTGAAAAGTTTTTCTATACTCCTCCAAGCCAAGTTGACGTTAGAGCACGGCCTCAACAATCAAGTCATACGCATTCTCCCGTCGCAATTTTATTGAAGCGATTGAATGTGGTCCCTCAATCCTCGAAACGGAGGACCTGAATGCGCAGTGGATGGTGAATCGCCAAAGTGATAAATTCACCGTTCCAGCGTGGGTCTAACAAGTTCTTGATGCTCGCGAGCAAACTTTGTTCGATCGCTCTCCGGATACACGTTGCATCAGTTGCATTTGCCAAGTCCCACTTGAATCTTGGGTTGCCATGGATGCAAAAGAAATTAGGGCCTCCAGTAAGCACGCGTGCAAACGCTTTTTTGATGCACAAAAGAGGAAATTTGCTTTCTATTCTTGCTTCATGAAATTTGCCCAGCGCATATCTAGTGAGTCCAACACCACTCACGTGATAGAGCCTGGGTGGACATTTGTTTATTTTTTGTTTTTGTGTGTTTTTCTTGTGGAAAAGCAATTCCATATTCCAAAGCGCCAGCAACACTTCTGCTCCCATGTTACAGGCCTCATTGCTTAAATGAGCCTTTGCGAAAAGAATGGCACATGAAAGTTATGACATTGATCAGAAATTATGCGTTGTCTTGGCGGCCCTGGGGCATGCACCGCCCAATAATGTCTCAACCTGGATGGTCTGATGCCGACGGCACATATTGCTGCACAGTTATCCGCCTGCTACTAATTACTGTATACTATTCTTTATTCCAAGTGCCAACATGAGTTTGTCTGTATCACCCTGGAACGACACTGATTCTCGTTAGTCTGCGACGGGTTATATCGTGTTTAGGGCTTATGGTTTAATGTAGACCCTTGATTAATAAACCCCCTCCCCTAATAAGGATTATGGGTATTATGGCTGGGATCCTAATATTAAGGCCCTTGAAATGAGGAGGTTAATTCATCACGTGTCTACATGCTTCCATGTTGCTGACGAGGCCTTCGGCTGAAAGGCATGTGGCATGTAGAGCATGGATTGTGGACATTTCTATTACAGTTACTAGTACCGCGTAAGCGGGGAGCGCAGTTGCAGGAACCCTTTTTTACCACCAAGG